GCATCCATATGCACTTTTCTTTTTGTCTTTCAGTTTCTGCAATGAGTTTGAACAATCTTAGCTACTCCGACCTGCAGCGGAGATTAGATGACCCGCAGCAAAGAGATGAGTTGGTACAACTAGCTCGGGAAGCTCGACCTGGTAGGGCTGCCCGTGGAGGGCTTCTCACACGAGAGCAAAGGGCATGGTTGCATTGCAATGTGGCCACGAAAAAAGCAGCAGTTTCAGAGCACGTCGCAAAACAACCTTTGCTAGCCTCTCCTGCTGGAAGCATTGTGAGTCCTTCTCCTGCACCTGTGTGTGAAACGAGGCGAAAACTGTTCAGTTCCGATGATGCATATGAGACGCCTGGCAAGTCCTCGAAGACTTCAGAGAAAGATGCTTCTGCCTCAAGCCACAGCAGACCTCGTGGAACATCGTGGCATTCCTTTACAAGCAGAACTCAAACGCAGAAGAAAGCTGAGTTGAAAGACTTGGTCGCCCAGAGCTGCGCGACTGCTGAGGAAGCAGCAGACTCCAACAACGTAGCCTCTGCCATTACATGGTAGAAAAGCACGGAAAAGGACCAGATGATAGTGAAATTTTCGCTCGAGTCAGAATGTGGCTTCGTGAGTATTTATTGAAAGAGAACGCTTTCATCGACACTGAAGAAAAGTTGGTGGAAGTTTTGCGTTCTGCCGCTGACAAAGAATGGAAAGCCAATAAGGCAGGTTTGAAATTTCAAATAGAAGTTTTCCACCCCGGCCCAAGGCCGACGGAGAAACATGAATTGCTTTTTGATGACCATGTCACAAGATCCTATTGTTGGGAGAGTTTGCCTAGGCCAGGCGCTGACAAAGTCATTTTGCGCAACTGGCTCTTTTCCGACGCACGGAATTTCACCGCTGTGCCTTATCAAGTCCAACGTGTGGCTGTTGAAGCCGGTGATTGGCGCAAAGGCTTTTGGAGCGATTGCTCCTGGCGGAAAGGCCCTTTAGAACTTGGCTCCGACAATGAAATTACAAGGAAGCACTCTGTTCAGTGCACAGATTCCACTGCGGTGACTTCTGTTTCCTTGCCGAACTTGGACTTTGCCAGCATCTGTGCTCGGGACGAGCGACGCCTTGAAAAGGCTTGCCGTCGCAAGCGCAGGAAGCGCCAACAGTCCACTTCCAGTAGTTGAAAAGTGCCGTGGCAGCTTTGTTGAGGCATGATGAAACTAATAGAGAACGATACCTCGGTTATGAAAACGTACCAACCGGTTGGAAAAACGATACACCACCCCAAAAACGATACCTCGATCTACTACATACGTTTTGGGACACGTGATTTTGCCGGCCGCTCATTTGAACATTATTGTTATTTCATGTAAACAGTCGAAAGTCGAAAGTCATGCAGTTGGTTTTGTGTCTCCTGCTCATCTTCCACAGCTGGGCAGGAGGTAACGCTGTCACAAAGGCGATGGCATGTCCAGAGGACCAACCAGAGTACACCTGGCGGGCCTTCTCAGGCAGGATCACACTCAAGGACTTCTCGGAGTAGAGTGTAAGCTCCAAACGTTGGGTGTAGCTATGGCTTCGAACTTTCTTCTTCCTTGCGCGAATGCTTTCCTGCAGGAAATTTGGGGATGAATTGGTGGAGCGGTATGTCAAGTTGCTAACATGTTTGTGAATGAACTTTTAAAGGCGTGACTTTGATGGATGATGGGGATATAAGATGGCCTCGTTGAAGCAAACCCACACCGTCTGGCTGCAAGCATCTTTGAAGAAAGTCTTTGGCACCACTCCTAGAGGGTCAAGCACAGCAGCCACAGTTCCTTCACCAGGTGCGCCACACTTGCCGCTCTTGTCCTGCTGGGCACCAAGGGCGACGAGGGTAGAGCCAAGCAACTTCTGCACGATCGCCTCGTCAGGTCGCCAGACCTTCCTCAAGCCCTCCTGGCATTCTGGACCGGTACTCTCACCCAACAAACTGGTGTCTAAGTGAACCAGGGTGCACGACTTCCCCACTTCTCCTGGGGAAAGGTTCTGCTGCTCCATGGTGGTCAGCATGTTTGCAGCAGTGGCGCTCTCAGGCACGAAGCAACAGTACATCCTCACAGTCTGGTTGGCGACCGCCTTCCAGTACTGGGGAGAGCCTTGTGGCAAAGTATTGGGCGTTTTACGGGCCATCTTCAAAAGGTCACTGTGTCCTCGCGCTTCGCTGGTCACATCCTCTTCGTCTCCACTCTGGTTCTCCAGGGCTTTCGAGGCAGCTTTGTCTTCTGCAAGCTCGTTGTCCCGCAAGTTGCAAACAACCTTCCAGACTTCCTGCACTGTCTCGATCTCATTCAGGATCTCCGGGTGGGAGTTGGGCTTCATGGCTTGTTTGATCAAATTGTCATAGGTCTTCAGAAAGACCACATCCTGGATGTAGGTCAAGGCTTCCAGGGAAGCCTTTGACAAACCAGCTTGCCAACTGACATGGTCAACAGTGTTCTCCCTGGCGGCCTTGGGGTCTGACAGGTGTTCCTTCAGCAGCGCCCGATCCTTGTCCGCGAGCTTGGCCTGAACAGCCATGATGTCCAAAATGTAGCTGAGACTGCGCCACTTGAACTCAAACAAGTGGATGAGGCCAACATTGTTCGAATTGCCGACCATGCTGTTCTTGTTCAAATCATCGTCCTTCAGGACCCCATGGCACAGCATGTCGTCAATCAACTGGAAGATGAATCGACGAGAAGCGACACAACTGGGTCGCTGAGCCAACTTTTCCAACTTTACCAAGCTGTTGAAGCAAGAGTCGGAGCCTTTCAAACATTCTTGTTTCTGGACAATGTCGCTGATGACTTGGTCAGATTGAAGCTTTGCGAAGATTGTCTTCGCCGCTGTGAAATTCCACTCGCAGTAGTTGGAATTCTCCATGGCGCTCTGGCCCTTCTGGGCTGTCATCAGGTGTTTACTTTTGAGGAGCTGCACGACCTCGGTCTCTGTGAGTTTCCTTCCTTCGATCTTCTCCATCAAAGCCTGCAATGGCATGCATTTCATGACACGCCAATTAAAACAGAAAACATGATTGTTTCATAGATGACTTGAAATTATGCAAAAATAAGTCGACATGAGATGTTTACACCAAAGAGAAAACTTGATGCGCAAGGTAGTGCCTGGAGGTGGTACAACTCAGCTGCGTTTTGCCAAGCCGTTCTTGTGAGACTCTCGTGCTCTTGCTGCAGCAGCTGGCGTCGGTTCAGCGCATGGACCCAGACATCGCTTTCCGGCACTTCCACCATGACAACAGGGACGGCTGTCCTGAGTTTTTCAGGAAAGGCTGAGTCAAATCCGGGAGTACAGGGTGTTGCTATGAATGGATATTGCAAGCTTGAAAAAAACCGAAGCTTTGGCCAAAGGTCAAGGCTTCGGCCCAGGCTTCTTTGCGGGCAGCTGTGACACCTGCCTGACCCAACTCTTCAGCTGCCTTCAGGAAAATGGAGTGGACGATTTCCAGGGGCGAAATCACCACAAGACCAGTCGGTTTGTCACTCAGGGCCGACTGGTCCACTTGAACCTCCAACAACTTCTGGAAAAAGTTGTTCTGGCGCTCGGCAGGGAAGTAGAAGTCCGCCAGTTGCTGGAGGCGAGCGCGGCTAAGTGGCACTCCTGGCGCAGGAGTCTTCCAGCTGTCCAGCCAGTACAGATTGCAACTGCAAATGTACGTGCCATGGGCTTCCAGGGCTATTTTGGCCTTTTCGAGCTGGTACACGTCCTGTCTTCAGGGATAAAGACGACATTGTGATGTTATTCTACCTGAATTAAATCCAAAATTAGATCCATGACGTATTAATTTATTAAGTGTGAGTCCTGGACCCCTGTCTTCTCTCCGATCGCAGTGGCGATGGGAGTAGGCATCATCTCCTTCAGCTTGGATCCCAGGGCCTTTTCAATCACTGCCAGGTCTTGCTTCAGGGCCTCATAGTATTCGCCATTGCAGGGCGGTGAACTGTCTGCAGCATCAGGAATTGTCATCCCCGAACGCGTAGTCTTGGCCGAAAGTTTTGTTTTGGCTGCAACACCACTTTGTTTCTCCAAGGAAGCTTTGTGCTTCGCTTCTTGGATCACGCGCACTAGGCGCTTTCTCTCCTCAGAGCGCTTCAGTGCCAGCTCTTCCGGACTCGTGTCCGGAGACTGGCGCGCTTCCCAGGCAGCAAGGTCAGCTTCTACTGACTTCTCCTCGGCTTTGTTCAACCTCCAAGCAGAAGGGTGCTTGGTCGGCATGGCTTCAGCAGCAGACGTATGTCAGAGGGCACGCAGAGCTTGAACAGGAAACAAACACCAGGTGGAGCAGGAGCATTGAAACTATCATATCAAGCCCAACCAATCCAAGGTTATTATTTAAAAAATGAGTTTCAAAAGGCAAGTGCGCACAGACTGTAAACACAATGGTCAGAAAACCAGAGAGAAAAATAAATTTATCCCAGTCGGAACGCGAACCGCCACTAAGGGACAGTCGGAATTGTTGAATCCGCCGTCCAGCAGTCGGCATTGTTGAATCCGCCGGGATTTGCAAAGATGGCTGAACGCCGCTGTGTACAGTCTGCCATATAAGCCACTGTGCACACAGTCGGCCATAAGCCGCCGTACACAGTCGGCACACCGCCGTGCACAGTCGGCCATATAAGCCGCCGTACACAGTCGGCACACCGCCGTGCACAGTCGGCCATAAGCCGCCGTCCACAGTCGGCAACTGGCCGCCGAGGAGCCGCCAAACTAAGGACATCATTTGTTCACCCCATCTTCTGCTTCGCAAAGAGTCGGTCGGCCAAAGTGTGCGAGCTGTTTTCTGCAACACTTCTTGGCCAAGGATCTTTGAAAGCGACGCCTGACGGTATCAGATTTGCTGCTTCAAGTGCTCGCGGCAGAATGCGCATCAAGACATTGACAGACATGCTGTCCCCCAAGGCGCCCATGATCTGCTTCTCTGCAGAATCTGGAGTGGAGAACTTGGTGAACTTTTTCATCAAGAAAGTCTTCATGTTGTCATAAAGTGCAACAGGCACACCTTGCAAACGAGCACACTCATGGCCAGTGAGGCGACGAAGTTTGTGTGGCAGGTAGTAACCCTTTTGTAAGCAGCGGCTGCGTGTCAAACAAGGGCAAGCGCCCACCATCTTTGATTGCCATTTGGCACTTGAACCAATGTCGAGCACCAGGTTCTCTTGCCAAATTCCACTGCCATATTTTTCCTCGAAGGAAGAGAGGTCAAGCTTTTCATTGCCACAGACCTCATCCAGGAACACATTGAGATTGGGCTTTGGCTTTGTCAAAGGCTTGGGAAATCGGAAGCTCGCTTTCTTGTTCCGGAAAGCGATGATGTAACATCGTTCCCTGCTTTGGGCAATGCCGTGGTCCCTCGTGGTCACCTTTTTCATGTACACTTTGTACTGCAAGGCACGAAATGTTTTTTCATGACCTTGTGAGTTCGAGTATGTTTCTTGTGCAAGAAGCCCAAAACTTGTTCAAGCACCACAACAGAAGGCTTCGAGCGCGCAACATATTTGAGCCCTTCAAAAATGAGCAACCCTCGTCCTTTGCCATCTTTTGCCCCCTTCTTGACACCACAGTTGCTGTAAGCTGGACATGGAAAGCCAGCTATGTAAAGATCACAAATTGGAGTCGCAGAAATGTCTCGCTTGAACATATCGGTCTCCAAGGCTTCCTTGTGGGTGCTTTGTCCACAGGTTCTGTGCACACTTTGCAGTAAGGCACGTTTCACTGCATCAATCTCAGAACCTCCCACAAACTCCATGTGAGACGATCGGAGACCAAGTAAGGACAGGGCCACTGTCTCTGAGGAAATTCCCGCGCAATCGGCGAAGATCCGAAGTTTGTTTGCAGGCATAGGTTTTGGCATTCTTTTGCCCTTATGCTCCTGGACAAAGGCTTTCAATTTCTGGATTTGCTCTTCCAGAAAAGTATTAGGAAGCTCTTGGGCGGCCTTTCTTTTGTACCATTTACGCGCCGTCAACAAGGACATGGCGACAGAGGCTCCAAAAGTATGTGTGGGTTTGACTGACTGAGAAATAAGTCAATTTTCACCCAGTGCAGGAACAATTATCGTGGCTGCTTCAGAAAGAACTTGAACTTGAACCACAAATACTGCCGTCAAGGTGGGATGTTAGCACCGAAAGTTGCCAAATTTGCAGTTTCACTCGCGAGAGGACAGTAGCAAATTGCTACTGTCCTCTCGCACAGCCAGACCGGCCCGGAGCCGCGAGAACACAGTAGCAAACCGTGAGAGGAGTCTACCTTGTATCAATTATACTATCGTCTCGCGAATTGCTACTGTCCTCTCACACAGCCAGACCGGCCCGGGCGCGCGAGAACACAGTAGCAATTTGCTACTGTCCTCTCGCAATCCCAGACCGGCCCGGGAGCGCGAGAGGACAGTAGTAGTCACAGTTGATCAGATGATTGATCTTTCCCAAGGCCAGACCGGTCTGGAATAGCGCGCGGTCATTTTGCCAGTCAATCTGAGATGCCCAACTGCGATTGACGGTTTCTGTTCAAAGACCCTTGACAAAGAAGCTCTTCTCCTCCGCCTTACATTTGTCTGTCACAAAAGCTACGAATTTGGATTTGGTAAAAGCCAGCTTCGCCTTTTTCTTCAAATCCTTTCCTTGCGGATCATTTTCCGCCAGCAAGCATATGGACCTTTGCCTGTCCAAGGCGGTTTCTTTCAACCTTCTCCAGCCTTCTCTCTGCACTGCCCAAGCAAGGGCTTTCACAAATTCAGGATGCTCTTCCAGGAAAGCTTTGGAGCAGTGAACGCCAACATGTGCTGCGGCCAAATGACGAAACGCATTGGGCCTGTATTCAAGCTTGATTCCCCCTTTGCCTTGCAGAACAGTGTGGGACAGAATGATGCCCCCAGTTGCAGCGGCCAGAAGGTAGAGTTTGTCCGAGGTTTCCTTTTGAGTGATGAATACCGAAGCTTCGCGAGGATCCTGAGTCAACAAAGCCTTGGGCGCACTTCCACAAATTCTACGATATATCAATACTAATTATTAATCACCTCCTCCAAAGTCATTCCGAGTATCAGAGACAAACACCAGAGGAGAGAGTTCGTTTGCAGCTAGAGAGCTGGCCAATCATGACACACTAGCAGGCTTGCATGCTTAGGGCTAACCCTTCACTTCTTGCCCCTAGCAAGCCTATCTGCAATTGTTGAAACTAAATTAGACATTAAGTTAAATGTTTGATATCTAGATTGCTCAATATGAGTGTAGCACATTCAACTTTGAAGGCGCATGTTCAATTTGAAGACATGCTTTCTTCTCATAATAAGGTGCATGTCTGCTTCGGGAAGGCAAAGGGCACCAGGGCA